CATGCCTGTTGAGCAATTGGAGGTTTGTAAATTTATCGGTAAAACTGGTCAAAAACTGGCAACTATGTTATCGATATGAATAATTGCACAATGATCAACTTATTGTTTACGTTTAATCTCGCAAAATATCACCAACATCCATATGTCAGAGAAAGGATTATAGGCTTTGTGTCACTAAACCATAATATTAAAAGTAAACAATAACCTAAATAGTTTTGTATTGTCAGAGACAAAAACATCAATTTGATATTTTAAGACAAGTCAAATCATGACTATACTATTAACTTTAAAATTAACTTTGTTAGGGGTATTTTGTATTTAATTGTACCAAAAGAAATTAAACAAGCATTATTATTATCGAAATAAATTGACACTATACTTCCAAAGGTGGGTTTGATTGTTCACTTGTTTGTAATAACTCGTGCTACATCCCAGATATTGGGCAAAGGCTTTCTTTAATTTAACATTCACAATTTAAAGAAAAAAGGTTGTTTTCTTTCATTATTAGATTTAGTTCTGTATAAAGTGTACAGTTAATATTATCAATAATAGTATACTTTATTTATTGTCTACAATATATAAATATTGATACCACTAACTATAATAATAGTAATACAGTATTTTAAAATGTCACTTGGCATAATAATAATACATTTTCAACAAGTAACTTAAAAGGTTAACGACTTGGATAAGAGGGTGACTATACTGCGGACAAGATAAAAGTTGCGTGACAGACGCCAAGGTGAATTTAATAAACAACATTGTACTTTACATTTGCCTGAAAATTGTTTCCTCATTTGTTTCACATTGAGATGAGGATGTTTTCGAAAGTTCTTGACAAGCTCCGCCAAACCTAATTTTTTCTGAATAAAGTTTGGTGAAGGAAAGTTTTGACTGCTGGAATATTTCTCTTTAAACAGAGCCAACAAAAAAAGGAAAAGGAAGAAAGAGTTAATAAGATATAGTGTAACAAAATCTTGGAACATGCTTCATCTGTGTGGCAGAGATGTATCGGTCTCAATTTCCAGCTAGTAGGGAAAACAACAATCAAAAACAAAGTTTAAAATGGTTTAAATAACAAACAGTCAGCTATTACGTTGGTTTGCATGAACAAGCGACTGGAATCTTCTGATTGATTGTATTCTGGGCAAGTTATTTAATACTACCGTTCGGGCGCCAATCGAAAGGTACTATAAAGCAGAAGCTCTTAACATTTTGAAACATTGCCCGACATACCCAACTAGCAGCATGGCTCGACTGCGTATTATGATCAATGATTTTTGGAGTTTCGCCGCGAGGCTTTTGTTTGTAGGACGGGTTTAATTCAAACTTACATTCAAAGGCCTTTGGACCTTGAACATGAGGCCAGCCAGCGTCTTTTCTTGTTGATGAATTTGAAGGGAATGAATCGTATGAAGGTCCGCAGCATATCTATGTGCAAAACGTTCCACAACATAGTCTTGACGTCTATTATAGAAAAGCCGGCATAACAGCACTCTTTGAGAGATTGCGTCTGTGATGATATTCTATTCGTTTCGTACCTCTTCCAAGCGGACAAACGAGATTAAAAATTATCGCGAGTTTTACATATAGTTTCCGCGGAATACGCGTAAACGTGCGGAGACTCATTTTCGTCTAATCCCGCATGTCAATACGGCTTTATGTGGTGTGGGAATTAGTAAATTCGATCCCGCGTTTCAACAAGTCTTAATAGTCAGCAGGTTTTGGAAAAATTAACTCAGAGGGTTGCTCAAACTTGATGGAATTAGTTTCTAGCAAGGGACCGCCGGTGAATCCAAAAACTTTTCAAGTGATATCCGACGGTAAGATGAGGCGACGTAATCAGAACGAATGAACAAGTGCCGATTAAAACTAATAAAGTCAATATCTGATTGATATTTATTACTTGAACAGCTGCATTTTTTATTTGCTTTCAATTTCTTGATTAACGTTCAAGTTGAAGACAATAAATACTTTCATTTTTCATGAACAGACTCTTATTGACATGATTCTGAAAATGTAATCAAGCTTACTTTGTTGTCGGACAGAGCCGACTGAGGTAGAAGATCGATTGAAATGGTGTTTTCGTTTTTAAAGTGAGAAGAGAGGAAGGAGAGAATTTACCAATCAGTGAAATTGGCCATTATTTAAACTTCTGTACTAACGTGGGTTTATTGTTAATGATTGCCGTGCTTTAAGGGTTAGAGGTCTTTGAATACGAACCACATATACGACAAAGAACCAAGTAAAAAGAAAAAGGATTAGTAGCAAACGGGACAATGAGAAAAAATAGAATCATTTGCAGGTCGATAATCCAAAGAGTCATCCCAATCTTCACATTTACCGAGAAACTTGAGGGGAAAGAGGAGAGAAACAAGAGACTTAATATGGCACTCCCATTCAACGATTTCCATAAAAAGCTATGAACGACAACAACAACAACAACAACAACAACAACAACAACGACGACAACAACAACAACAACAACCCTTACTAGTCGTTCGCTGAATAACACGTGTGCGTGTGAAGATGGCTACAGTCCAATTGCGTAAATTTTGTCAAGGGTTTCTTTTTGTCTGTAAAATGCATTCAGTCTGTTCATGAATGGGGGATTCCAAGTAAAAAAAGCAAAGTTATTAACGTCTTGCTCGGAAACAATCACCATGGAAATTCCATTATGCGCCTAAGCGCGACATCCACTCTCCTCGTAGTTCCAGACATGCTCCTCTCCTCTTCCCTTCCCTTCCCTTCTCTTCCCACTTCCTCCTCTCCCCTCCACTACCTACTTCCTCTCTTTATCGAGTTCTGCATTCAGATAATGACACACTTGGTGAAGACGGTTGAGCTCGTCGACAATGATGGTTTCTTTCTTTCTCATGTTTTGCAAGTGTACAATAGCTGTGTGTCAGAATTTGAGGAGACAAAGCACGCAGAGTCGGCGAGAGAATGAGATGCATGGGGTGGGGTGGGGTGGGGTGGGGGGAGGGGGGGAGGACAGATAGTAATAAAATAGAATGAGTAAAAACATGTCAAGGTGGAAAGTGCCATTCAGATTGTTAAACGATCACTTGTAATTACACAACATGAATCCATTTTCCATTCGTCATTGCACCTCTCTCCACCCGCCAATTCATTAGAGAAAACAAATACTCACTTTTCTGCAGTACGACAGCCTTGCTCATTTTCCGTCCATGAACACCATACGGAAGCTGTCTGCGAAGTTCCTCAAAGCCGTCTTTGATCTCGGCGCGTCGTTTTTGCTCGGACTGGATGTGAATACGTCGACGAAATTCGGCATGAGACAATGTACTAGAGAGAATGTGTTGGCAAAAAAAAAATAACGGGAATGAATAATTCTCTCTTTGGAATTGATGATCATAAAGTCTCGTATCTGCGAGTAATACGATTCATGACAACGGCCGAACGCAAGTTGTACGATTCTCCATGATTGTTATCTGCACGTATGCTATGCATTACCTATTTGATTCATCTCCGTCATCACCATCCAAAGAAGACGCCGTATCTCCCTCGTCACGTCCCCCCTTCCGTCGTCTACGAGTCCCAGCTTTTGCATTCTCGTATTTTTCCTTGTTGTATTGATAAAATTCTGTAACATCCAGCTCATCCTCGATGGGAGGAGAGTCGCGTATATCGATTGGAGAGAATGAAGCGGATGGGGCTGGTGATAACAACTGATGCGGGATGTTATCGTCTAGGGGACCTAGCATATATTCAATAAACGAGAAGGAGAGACAGGGTACAAACGTTACGGATGGTTGATAAAGTCAAAGGGGAAGAGAGGGGATTGGAACAAAGGATTAAGTAAGCGAGCAGGGTGGTGTTATCGTAAGTGATTGATGATAGAGTATGAGGGGATTAAGTAAGCGAGCAGGGTGGTGTTATCGTAAGTGATTGATGATAGAGTATGAGGGGTTTTAGCATTCTACACCATGTTTTTCTTGTTTCAATGCAACCATATGCATAACGTTACATAACCATTGGGGTCTCGTTAACTCATTCCGTTCTCTCGACCTCTCCCGTTTGTCACGTATTACATTTGCATGTCGCGTCAGAATTTTCGTGTTTCTCTTGTAATCTTAGATACTAACCTCCAGTATTGTGACTCTCTGTGGTGACCATGAATCCAGGGTGAGCATACTGTGAATATGACATTATTGACTTTTTTTTTTTTTTAATGTTTTTTTTTGGGTAGTTTGGTTAAAAAGGATAGACAGAGCGTGTGTGTTGGATGTTATATATCTATTGATAGTTCGTTACGTTTTGAATATGGAGTACGGAATAGATAAGCAAATAGACGACGGGGTTCTCCAAGAAGTGTAAAAACTCCAGAACGGGGGATATGAATGTGTGTGTGTGCGTGTGTGTATGTCGGGGATTAATGTGTCATGGTATTTAAATATAAATGCAGTGAGAAACGGATTTTGTTTGTTGGATTGGAATCTACATGGCGATCGTGATTGATAGTTGGATGTGATAATAATAACGAATGATTGGTTTATATAAATGGGGTTTATGTAATTGTAATATATAATAACGTAAAAAAGGTTATTGGGTGAGTGAAAGGTGAGAGGTGAGAGGGTGACAGGATGAGAGGGTGAGAGGGTGAGAGGGTTAGGGGGAGGGGCGGTGATGAAAGAGAAAAAAAATTTTTTTTTTTCCCAGTTGTTGTTTGACACATTCTCATTTTATCATTTCGTGTCAAGTTTTTATATCCAATTCAAGTATTGTCAATGCCAATTGATAACCCTTTGGTAACCTTTGGTAACCGTTTGATGAAACCCCCAATCCACTAATTCGTTCAATAACCTTATCGCTCATTGTCGTAATTAATTAACTTTTTTTTTTTTATTACCACGCACGCAATAACGAAAAAAAAAAAAGTTTTTGTGCAAGTGGGCGCGTTAGGAGTTCATGCAGATGTGTTGCCATGTGTCATCCCATAAACATCACTACTGGAAATAGATAAATTCTAATAAAAGCCCATTGAAGGATTGGATCAATATCACGGGTTAACTGAGTTACTTGAAAAATATAAATTATAGTTGTATTCCTGTTGTCCGTTTTATTGATACTGCCATGTTGATATAACCATGATGAGTATGTAACCGCGGAATAGAAAAGAATGCTATAAAAGTCTTGACAATGCATATGACATTCCAGTCTGTCAATCGGGCATTTGTCATTGTTCGTTGTCATTATCATTATCTATATAAACCGTATATGCTGTGTAAATATATGTTAATATATATAATACACTAATTAAATATGTTACTGACGTTATTCCTGACTTGGATGTCAACTCACACCCCCTCCCGCTCCCGCTATCAATGCTGATATCAGTGCTTATCAACCATATCAATCCCATCATGCTTTCAAGATTAGAGTTTGTCCATATCGAGATTTGTTGAATTCACATCAATGTACGTTTTTTTTTTCACGACGACGACATCACCTTCGTGCAACTTAATATTACCATTTTTCACCTTGTCACCAGTAAAAGATGTCACTCTGCATAGCCATGCGAGAAAAACATTCAAATCATGGATGAAAACGTGCCAAGTAGCAATTTACTTTACTGGGATTATATATTTTTATACACACCATGACATGTACCGTATTGTATGACAAGACACATTGCATATATACAAATACTCTCATATGCTTTCTTTTTTTTATAAAAAAAAAAAAAAAGAGAAAGAGAGAGAATCCCCTTTATTGTCCATTTTAATTATAAACAAGAAGAAGAATAAGAAGAAAAAAGTCCATTCCAAAGCAATTCGCACAGTTCCCAACACTCGATGACTAAAATGCTATGTGCTGGATTATGCTATCAGTTTCGCCAATGCCCATCACCCAAATGCAGTGAATGCTACATGACTCACCTCACCAAACTGTACAAAACTCGTCAGCTATACATCGAAAAGAGTATCCTCGCAACTCTATTCATAAATCTCGTCATTATGTCACTCCTTCCTTTCCTTTTCATCAAACATTCCCCCCCCCACCCACCAACTCACCCCATCACATTTTCCCCTCTAACACAATATCTCCCATTTACCCAATCACCAACCATCATTAGTCCGTGTTCCCACTCCCACTATCCACTTCCATTTCCTGCCCATGCGTCTCAACGTTCTGTTCATTCTCAACGCCGTTCACCACATCCACATTATCCACCCCGGCTCCAGTCATCTCTCCATCCACCCCAATATCATCCATTCCATCTGTACGCGGATGATTCTCAAAGAATCGCGCTGTTAACGTGTGCGAATATCTTCCGCGACGAGGACGATATTCTGAGGCGAACTTGGATCGATAAGCATCAAGAGCCTTTTGAAGCAAAATTATCTTGCCAGATAATTTTGCTTGATTCAAGTGAGCCTGATATAAAAAAAAAGGATAGGTCTGATTAAGGTGATTTCTTAATGACAACAGGTTGACTGTGTGAATTTCCTCTTGACACATTCCCCTTTTTCTCTCTCACCTCTCACCTCTCACCTCTCACCTCTCACCTCTCTCACCCCCATTTACTTCCTCACTTACCAACTTCCATCCAATTTCATTACACCAAGTTTCCAGTTCCCACCTGTTTCCCTGATACTCATCCTTTGTCACAAACGCTCTTGGATAGACACAATTGGTTCTCTTGAACTGTTCTGAAAGATGCCTCGAATCCACACTGTCAACATCAGCACGGAGCTTGATTCTGCTAACAACACCATCAGTAACAGTCTCAAACGTGAACGATTTTCCATACGACTTTTGACGCTTTGACGACGAAACGTATGATGGATCATACGACGTCTCGTGCGCAAAGGCATTCGCCGAGGATGCAACAGGGCTGGTCATACTGTTGGAGACTGATACCAAATCATAAGGTGACGTCGGCGATGGCACATCTCGTGTGGTTCGTTTTCGTAACGTGCCATTCAGAAGTTTCTCATTACGCACAACACGTCGCGAACGCATCGTAGGGCTACGATTACGGTACGAATCTACTGCACGTTGAAGTAGACCTCGCTTACCGTCAATCACACTTTTATTCAACCATGCCAACTTCCATCCCAACTCATTACATTCTCGTTCATAAGTCCATCTATTCCCCTTATACTGATCTTCTGTACAGTTGGCTCTTAGATATAAACAATTGTCTCTCTTGAATGCCTCGTCTATCTCGCTCATTTCTACTTTGTCTATATCTATTCTTACTTTGTAGTTTTCGTTTTGTCCTTTGACGGAATACGTAAATACGACATAGTGAATTCCATCATGTTCTTCGACTTTGGGATCTGTTGCGGGCAGAGCGTGGTTAGGTTTTGAGCCAGAATGGGGTTTTCCGGCTTGAGTGGCGGTAGGAGATAATGAAGAGACAGGAGAAGTAAGTGGAGAGGTCAGCGGTGGTGGCAGAGATGGTGGTGAAGTTGTTTGGAATTGGTGCGGTTGTGTGGTTGGTTGCGTTGGTATTGGAAGTTGTATTGGAGTATGTCGTTGTTGTTGTTGTTGTTGCTGTTGCTGCTGCTGTTGCTGCTGCTGTTGCTGTTGTTGTTGATGCTGCTGCTGCTGTTGCTGCTCTTGGTGCTGTTCCTGTCTTTGTTGGTCTTGTCCATGTTTTGAGTATGCATGCTGATGAACACGTGGATCTGCATGGGGAAGCTCAAACTGGTGTTGAATTGCAGTGTTCATAGATGAGTGACGATCGGAACTGACAAGGTCAGGTTCTGTATTAGACAGAATGAAGAAGTGAGTAGTCGCTTTTGCAAATCGTTTGTGCTCAATTAATAGACGGTATCACATTAGATCAATAGTTTCACAATCGACAGAATTCTTTTTTAAATTCGATTTCCAATGCCATGGTTTAGCTGCTCATCACGATGTTCTTTACAGAAAACGTGTTTCTTCTCTCTCTCTCTCTCTCTCTCTCTCTCTCTCTCTCTCTCTTTTTTTTTTTTTTTCCCTACCAAATCACCCACCACATTCTTACCTATTGTCATGCTATCCCTCCACCTTTCGTTTCTTTTATCAGTGATCTGTTCTCTTCTTGCACCATCATTGCCCGCCATTCCAGCTTTCGCCAACATGTTTTTCGCCGTCAAATCAACATGGTGGTAAACCTTGTTGCTTCCCCCACTACCACTATTTCCATTTACCTTTCTGTTCTCTTTCATTTTTTTTCTCTTTACTCGCTGAACAGTTTTTTCAACGATCGTCAACTGATCCACGGTCAACGCACCGAGAATTTCATCGGTGCGCGCACTAGAGGCAAGTAGATCTGATATGGTCAACACGGGGGTTTGATAGTGATGGTGCATGTTTGATGGGGGTGACGAGGCGACGGCAGGTAGTGGCGCGTAAGAGAAGCGCTGTGTTAGTGGTGGCTGGGCATGATGATAGCCTTGATTGAGGCTGTTATGGTGGGTGTTCTGATTGTGATTAAGACCATTGGCGTGCGCGTTAGCACGTCCATTCTCAATCGCAGCAGCTCTCTCGACATACTCGAATCTCTCGTCTTCTTCTGCTGCTGTGGTTGTCGCCTCGTATTTGTCACAGGTGGTTCCGGTCGGAGCGAACACATTCCCTAGCGCATTCGATACAAGGGTGACTTGTTGTGAGTTTGACCCGTGGGTGGTATTGACTGTGTGGGCGGGTGATATGCTTGCCAGTGCATTTGGCGCTGTTACCGGTGTTGTTACCGGTGTTGTTACTGTTACTGTTGTTGTTGTACTCGTTGCCTGTGTTGTACCTGTTGCTGGTATTGTTGATAGTTGGGTTGGTTGTGTGGTATTTGCTCCTGCTGCTCCCGTGGCTCCAGTTGTCACAGGTGTGGTAAGACCAACCATAGTTACGGATGTGCAATGTGGTGAAGTGTCCAGAGACGCCGCTGCCAAGCAAGTGCGGGTATGAATGACCTTTGGCGAAGCAGTTGCAGTTGTTGGTGTTGGTGTCGGTGTCGGAGTTGATATTGTAGGAGTGTGTTTGTTTGTGCGGTTTGTCGGTGTGCTCGTGTCACTGGTTGCCTGTAGTATTTGTGTGTTGGTAGTGTTATTCGTGCTATTCTTTAGCATCGAGAGAGAGACCGAGCGCAAAAGAGAAAAGAGAGAGAAAATGAATGATTATCGTGGCGACAGGGGGGAGCTGGAGAATGATTTGAACCCCTGGTGGAATATGAGGAGTACATACAAAATGCTGTATTATGTTGCTATTGCAAACATAAATATATTTAATATATATATATAGTATATACCGTTATACTGTATGCCAGTTCGGGAGGCGGGGGGGGGGGAATTTCCTGATGTGCAATGAGGATCCCCTGGACCATGAGAAAATAAGGGTTGAAGTTGGACGGCGAGTGATTGGTGCTAGATGATGGTGCTACAACTACTGAGATAATAACCGATAGGAAAGAAAAAAGAAAACAGATAATAGAGAGCGTAGAAAAAGAGGCGGGAGAATGGAGGAAAAAGAAAGGGTCGACAAGAATGTACAAAGATATAATTAAAGAATAAGGAATCGAGCGTAAGATTACAAAAAATATTGATGCATGGGATCTTCACCCCATGTACAATAGAACATTGTTTAAAGACCTTAAAGATGGCGCAGCTTGATTTAATAAATCCTGGTAAGTATTGTACTATATGTCACGTGTATAATTATATTGTCATTTATTTGTGTGCATAATATTCTTATTATATCGCCAGTTTTTTTTTTTCCCTCTCCCCCTCCCCTTCTCTTCCTTTTCCATACTCTTGTTGTACTGATTGTCAAGCGTCCCATTGTGGAGTGCTCATTTGACTGTATTACTATCCACTGCTCTATCGACCAATGTTCTTGCATCAGTTGCACTGGTCAATTCCATGTTTATATACTCTATTTAGTCTACGGATTATTCAGTTGATCGACATTTAACTCATCAACATCTGATCTCAATCGGGCAATCTGAACCATTTATAGTGATCGACAGCGTCATGCCGACAAGTCAAACTATGAAAAAATGGCCTTTTTTTAATTCCCTGGGGAACCCATGTCTTAGAGTTAACGCCCCGAGTTAATCAATTTGAAAAATATGGGTGAAATTGGATAACAAAGTAATCATGTGATGCTGCAAACAGTGGCAAAAAAAGATTTCTGTTTGTAAATAAGAAGCTATATGATTGGTCTGTTTCGGAATTTATAATTTAAACTTGCAAAAAATTTGTTATAGCAGCAGCCTTTATACCCTTTATATGTGTTGTCATTCACCTAAAACGTATTCTAGAAACATGCTCAAGTCTTGTTTATATTCTTGTGGGCTACGTTTTTGAAATTTGCTTTGTCAGTCTCAAAACAAAACTGCATCTACGTCTAAATTTAGGTGCATGGTCAGGTTTTCATACGCTCTATCAAAACCTTGATATTGTTCGTCAATAAACAACCGCTTTCTTCGCACGTCCAATATATTGTGCGGTATCGTTTATATTGTTCCGCGGTAATTCTAATTGTGATGCGACGACTTTGTTTCGTTGTTTCCGACCAGGAGCGGGGGAAAACTACTGAACTGCAGTAGTATCGATAGTAAAGTCTTGACAATTGCTTTTAAGTCTAGGAGATTTTATAGTCAGAATATTTAGTAAATCCTGACAATTAGAATATAATAAGTTATTCTATTACTATTATCGGTGGTAGCAAATAGGATTGAATACCAAGGTCTGTTCTATCTAATGCACGTGACAAATAACACTGGACATCGAACTCGATAATTCGGTCAACATCTTATCAGTCAGGTCAGTTCTCTCTTTCACAATTCTCACTGTTTCTCTATTTACGAGAGACTGCTACTTTTACCAGCCCAAGTTATTGATGTATGAAATTGAGAACGCATTGGGAAGCAGACGAATTGTCGGTAAATAGTCTGGGGTTTAGATTGCGGTATCATTGCTGGAACTTGAGTAATTTCCATTTACATGTTCGAGCTGGTTTATGCTCAAAAAAACCAAACAATGTGAACATAAACTACGTAAGCTGCAAATTTCATTTAGTCTTGTCTCAACGTTAAAGCAATCTCTATTTCTTTTGTTAAACGGTTAGCATAGCTAAGAGACTTGCATAACTTGGTTATATATACTTTGTTCATCTGACTATTTCCTTTTTGACATAATTACTTTAATTCAAAACTGAATCGCCGAGAAGATAGACAGTACGTGCGGTTTATCTCAGTGCATTGCTTGGGAGAGTCGACTTGAGTACAATATAGTGTCTGAAATTAGGTAAATTGATAACAAACGTTTGTATTGGTACGCAATCAGTATGTACGGAAAGCAATTCTTTTCTCTCCTTCGGCAATGAACAAAGAAGTTGCGACTAAGAGACTTTTTATAATCTATATTACTTCTTTTATCGAAATATGCAAGTTTTCGTTACCATCACACTGCCTTTAATAAACATACTTATATGGTTTCTATTGTCGAATTTAGAAAAAAGCTTGTGTATGCTAAGTTGAGCTTTGTTATAAAACGCTGAAGAATGTAACAACAATTTTGTGACTCGAACGCTAATATGATAATGACATTTCTAATCATGCCTTGATTTCAAATCATTTGCAACAAAGGCTCGCGACTGACCACATCCACCCTACACTGTTTCAGAACCCAAAAGCCTTCAGTCACCGAATAAGGCATCAAAACGCGAACTGCTGTGGCGTTTTCCACCTCTTTCACTCCTCTACCCTTCTCGTCCTTCACTCATTTGCCTATTTCACTTTATCTATTACACTCATTCTTTTTTTTCACTCGCCACCTCCAATGAATTACCATCATCATGAAAGACCCATCCAACTTGGCATATTAATATGGCCTCCAATTAGATGGTAAAGATTCTTAATATTATATTATTAATATTATAGTTAAACATATTTTACTTCCAAGTCATGTTTATACAATTGCATTTAGGACTGAGGAGAGTAGGTGGCCTCGTCAAAATATAATAGTGCATCATGGATCTGGAAATATTATTTCTAAAACCTCACATTTTATGGCGGATTCTCCAACGTTTATTTTATATTTGGGACTGAGTTGGTAAGCACGGTTGTTTATCTTTTTTGATAGTTATATGGTTTTTTCCGTTTTCTTTTTGTCTTGGTCATTGTTAGCCAGTTATTAAGTTAAAGACTAACTTTTTTTCTGATGTGAGGTAATCAGCCTTGGGTTTGTCTTAGTATTAGTCGTCAAATTATGGGTTTATGAACAGGACAAAATGAATAATGTTGTCAGAATATGTTGGGGATATTACTCTAGCACGTGGTATAAATAAACACCGGGATCCCCCGGCACTGATATCACAAAATCTTGACACCAAAACGAATAGATAGTTTTGATTGTGATATTAATATGTTAATTTAACAATTTAGCGATAGAGAGAGGTCCATCTTAGTAGCGTCTAATAAGTGACATAAATCCATCACAGCGATAGAGATTTCTATTGACGTTCTGTAATATAAAGGTGATTTTTCATTCAAGACCATAGAAACGTGCGCATCTGAGCAGTGAATATCTGAAATTACAAAGTTGGGCCACGAGTTTGGAAAAAATTTGTTTGGGCCTTGTTTACTTAACCTTGTAAGAAGAACCATTACACATACTGGTGTATTACATGGGGAAATCGTACTGTACAGTACTCAAATAAAACCGCGTTAACTGGATAAGCCATTGATCTAAAATCTTTGTATATTCATCGAGAACATAATCCCGTTTGTTCGCATCTTGAGCGTCAAATTAGAGGGCATCATTTCTATCGAAATCCTTCTCTCCTTAAGGGATGAAAAAAAAATCGTTTCGTTTGAGTATTATCTGTTTCATTGTACTCGTAAGTTAATGACTAAAAGCGAGACAGTCATGTGAACTATTTTTGGGGATCTCAGATTTATTCATTTTTTCATATTTATTTTCTCTCTGAACAAACAACGGTATGACAACATAATATGTTGACGACAACATGAGTGTTTTGGATTTTTTTCAAATCCTTTTTTTAAGCATACGAATGATTAATTTCATGTGACAAAATTACTTAGTATTTGATTTCGTTTTGAGCAGACTAAATTGTCGATTAAAATTGAAAGAACCTGGTTGTTGGCATTAGTTTTCACTGGTCGTTAGACGTTCGTAACAAATTTCAAGATTATATAACGTTACTTCTGGGATATAGAAGTAGCGTCTTGCGATTTATACTAAACACATTCGAGACCTATAAAAAAAACATGGTCAACCATCTGACGAATAAATGAAACAATGATTCAACCCCAAATATATGTATATACTCACGAATTTAATATACGGTGACGGCTTCTAGCTCACTATCATGAGCCGAATACGATGGATGAATATACACAGTCTATCGTGGGTAGTGACATCCATCAACTTAGTACGATGTGTTTGACGATAAATAAGACTCCATAACTTACACATTCGATGCTTCGCTAATTTGATTTTTCGTAGATTTGACGTTGAATAAGACTGCTGTGTTATTGATTATGATGTGGTTAAAGGCCGTTTTGCAGCACGCTAACACAAAGGATGGATTTGGTTCGGAGTCAAAACGTAAAGAGAGACTTGTTTAACATTTATTCATTACGACTTGCACTTACAGCGGGAGTATGTGCAAACTTTAAAAGTTCGCTGAACCCTCAGAAAGGCCGAGATGGGCCCTACGGGCAGCCGCTCTCTCGTTGCGAATAGCGGCAAGAAGTTAATCGATTGATGGGGGATTATAAATAGTACATTTTAGAGCCAATCCGAAATGGTCACTCGATAAAGAGTTCCTGTTTTGGAGCAATACGCCATTGTACTAGGTTTAAAATTAGAATAAGAAAAACAAACATTAGATAACGAACGGGATTAATCAGTGATTGGTAGGTGTCATTACCCCGTGACTTTTAAAAAGCTAGAAAACGAAAATTTTGCAGATGTCAAAAGCCAATACTTGGTCTGTTCCCGCCTTTAGCATCTATTCGATGCGATAAGCTCATAATTAAATTTTTAGGCTAACATTACTACATTCATCTTGAATTGCAGTTATCAAGTCCTGCTTTGTCTGC